AAGTTAGGCCGCCCAAAGGAGAATTATGCCTTAATCTATTCCAACATTTTTCTTTCTCTCCCTCTTTGCTATTTCTATTGTTTTTTCCCACATGGTCACACCGGGAGAACAAAGATGCTTATTTTGAATGCTCATAAAAGCAAAGAAAAAACAAACTGCGAGCCCCTTTTGAGTAGATAATCCCATTATTTGCTTGTAGTACTTGATTTGGTGATAGGACTGCCTTATTTTGAAAATGTTAAATAATATTAGAGGCTCTATTAATTGTATGTCCATGTAAATTCCTGGGGAAATGTTTGATTGGATAGAAACCATTGGGAAAAGTCATGCAGAAATTCAGAACACGTATGACCTTTACGATTCATCCAACTCCAAGATTCAAAATCAGTTTCACTAAAGACAACTAATAATCTAGTTTAACTTCAGAAGTTGATATGACATTAACTAAAAGCTTTATCAAGTGAAATGGAGAGAGACTGATCGAATTTACGGTGTGTTATTGTCTGGCGAACATATATAATTGCTTTAGAATTATATGGGGTCTTTGTTCCAGCATTCACAAAATTGGCCACACACTCTTGAAAGGATTCGGTTACATACAAGCAAAAATAAAAATTTGACTGAGGCTGAATGTTTTTATTTTGTTGGGGAAAACAAAACTGGTCGATATTAATTAGAGAAAAGCATCTGATTGGGTGAGCAAGAAGAAACTATATATATTCCTTTGTTTTCTTTCGTTCAAAACACTTTTGCATTTAAATGATTTTGGTCTCAACTTTGTATGTCTTTTGGTCTAAAGCTCATAACAAAGCTCTTTTCCCTAATAAACGCAGACAGCATGGAAAGAAAAATTGCCAGTTTCAGTTAGGGTGGGTACATATCGAATAATACCATAATTTTTAGTATTTGTGATTTGCTTCGTATTTTACGGATATTTTATTTTCGATTTGCTTTGCTGCGGAAAAATACGGATATACGGTTTTCCGGATATCTGGAAAATTTTCAGAAATTTGCGAATAATTACGGATACTTACGGATATCTCATGAAGTTTGTTTAATATAAATAAATCTAAAAAAAAAAGATAATACAAATTTATTTTCTAAAACTATCTTTTACATAATAAAAATTAGTGAAAATATGTATGTTCTGTAAATTTAAAAGAATAATCAAATATTTGATAAACAAACAAACTTTAGAAAAGTTATAATTTCATGAAAAATTGATATTCATTTCTTACCTTAATACCTTTATAAGTAATTTTATAAATAAAATTAATAAAATGATATGTTAAAATATTAATTATATTAAATTATACAGTAAAACTCTATATTTATTATTTGTCTTTTTATAAAAATCGGAGCGGATTGGATATTTGATTCTAACTTTTTTTATTATTTGTGATTTGCTTCATTTTTAACAAATATTAAATTTTAATAATTCCTTTGCTTTTATAACTTATGGATACCCGAATTTTTTGGATCGAATCAAAATGGATAACAGATCTAATTAAATTTAACAGACTAATGTTCATCCATAGTTTCAGTATAACGTCTATATAGCCACAATACCCAGTAAGTAATTTTCAAAATCTGATGCTAAGTATTCTATGTTGTTTTGTAAAAAGCCACATTCATCAAAAGTTGATGGCTACATTGGCTAAATCTTTAGCAGGTGGGCTGGATAGACGGGTTGGTTTCACATTATGTTCTTCTCGTAAACGCAAGGGCTTTAGAATCTGGGGTCTGATCCTCGTTAAAGCAATTCACATTTGACTGTTGTGGTCATAAACTTTCTCGAAAGGATTGGTTTATGCAAATAGATATTTTTTTATTTGGTGGCAGAGTTTGAATCTTTTAGTTAGGGCAAACAAATTTTGCTAATTTTTATTAAAGGCGTAAAGGGTGATTGTGTGTGCCTGAAGCAAACTATCTATATTCCTTTGCTCTAATCATTCTAAACCCTTTTGCATTCAAATGATTTTGGTCTCCTTTGGATCTCGTTTGAGTCCTAAGCTAATAAACACAGCCCCTTTTCCTCCCTTTTTATGAGTTGGTGTTTATTCTCAAAACTTTTTTATTTGGCCTCACAAGTCCACTGCACCTAAGCATTTATCCACGTCTGTGTAACCTCATGAAAACCTCGAATTTTTTATCAAAGGAACTTAAGAAAACTCAATGATCTATACGTAGTCTTATACGTAAAAAAGTTTATGATGTTTATTTAGCCCTCTTAACGTTTATGATAAATAAAAGAAATAAAAGCTCTTTTGTGCAGTGACCTAACGTTCGCAATAATTGTGTCACATATAATCTTCCAGAAAAAAAACATATAATCATCTTCGATTACAAAATGTTCACTTGCTTTTCCTGAATAATGATTGTAGGATCATTTATGTCTTTGTTCTATGGCACGACATATTTGTGTTTTTCTCATTTTTAGTTGATACGTATATGCATGGGTATATGATGCTTTAGGTTCTTCTGTAGAAGTATTGGGAGAGGAAGTGAGTGTAATGGTACTTGTTGCAATGGATAGTGGCTTTCAGGTTAAAAGGCTTACATAAAAACAAGTAAAATCTGTAAGAAAAAAGAAGATGATTGGGGAATGAAAGGAAGATTTCTCGCTTCTTGTGAGAATATTGTAATTTTATACTCGTATTCTTCAATTTCCATCATAAGAAAAGATAAAATGTTTACTATTTTATTGGTCTTTTCGGACATACATATCTATAGAGGGAATATAGCTTATAAGATTCTGTTACCAAAGTGTATAAATCTTATTGAAGGTTCCTAGGCAAGTTGAATGGTGGTGCATTTTCACTTCTTTCTATGCAGTGGCATGCTTCATGTGTGAGAGAGAGATGCTTTGATGTTTTCATCAAAGTAGAAGTATAATAGGTAAAGTTCCTTGTACCAATTACTACAATGATCTCATGTTTGAATAATTCATACTCGGAATCATTTCTTTTTGTTCATAGATTAAAACAATTCCTAATCACTTTATATTATGGGGTCTTCATTGAACATTAAATGAATTTGTGTTTTTCCTCAATGGATTCTTGAAAGATTTAATAGGCATCTGCATCTCTTTTGATTTGTTTGTGTATATATCTAATGTTATCAAGTTAAGATATAAAATCATAAATTACATTTTGGTTAGTGGTCCGAGAAGCAAACATTTCTTATCTCTTAATTATGTTCCAATTATAAAATACTGAGTCCAATTCTGCCTCTATGAGATGTACTGTATGATGTTTTCCTGAATAATCTATTTACTATTATTTCGATTTGGACGTGAGTTCCTGTTACTGACTGAAACTTTGATTTCATTAGGTACATGAAAATGATTGGTCATGCTGATAGCAGATACAATCAAAGACTGTCCCCACCAAGAGACTGGCTTTGCGCTTTCTTTTAATACTTTTCTCGTTCAAACACACATTCGTTTCTCTTCAGTCTCGTTTTTAAAATGAACATAATTAAGAGATAAGAAATGTTTCTATGGTCCAAAGCTACACACTTTTATGAAGTTAACGAAAGCTAATGATGTCTGTGATGGGCCACATGGTTTGGTTAGCTCTTTAGTGTTTTAGGCGGTTGAGTTTCTAAGTTAATACCATACAAAATTTAATTAAATTCAAAGACCAGGGTAGTGATCCTTGTGTGTTTTGTGTTTCTTGCCCCTAAGAGTTAGAATGGTATAAAAATGATTATGCTTGATGGTATTTAGAAACTAGAGTATGAACTTCAATATTATTTCAGATGTGTACTTGGCTGAGAAAATATAGCCTTGAACGTGTTTCTTGTCCTAAGTTTGATAGACTTTTTTTTTTGTCACTAAAAAATATTGCCAAAGTTTGATAGACTAAAAACTACATATAACTGGTTACCAGTCTTCAATGTTGTTCATCAGGCAAGTGACTTGTTACTATCTTTTGGAACAGAATTTGGTATTTCATTTTTCTTGTTTATTGATAACTTCTGTTACTTGGCAATGAGAGTGTAAATCAATCCATATACAATCTTATGGAATACATGTTAACGTTTAATAAACTATCTTGCTTGAATAAAACCAAAACTATCCTAATAAAAACTATGCTATATATATATATATATATATATATATATATATTTCACAAATCTGTTAATTCCAATGTTTTGGTCATCCTATTGTAACATTTCGGTTTGTGGTATATGAAAATGTCTAAAAAATTAATTTGGTTATTTATGTTATCAAAGTGCATTTACTTCACCGATCACAAATTAATTTAGAACTATATATATGGTTAAATGTGCTTGAGCTCCAAAAGTGGAATGATGGATGACCTTCGCGGTTTTGTGTGAGTGGACTAAAATACGTAGAATGTCATCTAATGATTGTAAGGTCAGTAAATAAATCAAATATCTTCAAAATTATTTTACAGCTGGTTGTATAGAATGGGATCCACATGTCGAAGGAATTTAACGAACATATAAGATCTATTATCCATGGACGGTCGGAGCGTACAACTATGATGTTGCTTACATGTGATGTTGAGTTTAGCTTACGTGACTAGATTTAGATTACGAGACTGTTGTCTGAAAAGGTGTTGGGACTTGTCTACTAGTAGCTTAAGGTGCTAAAGGAGAGACTGATTATATCCCAAATATTTTCTTCAAGTGTTATTGGGGATATTATTTAATATTTATTATCATATAAATGAATGATGATTTGCATCTTTAATTAGGTTCTTTTCTAATAAGTGATACACTTTGCAGAAAAGAGAGAGACCCACTAAGCTGCAGTACCCATTACATCCTTTTTTTGTGAAATTTGAGAAAGAAAAGAATATAAGGGCAAAGCTGAGTTACCTTTGCCTTTAGATACTGCTTTGTCATCACATGCATTCCACTTTGCACTACTAATCCACTTTGGACCCTCATAAACCCCCCCCCCCCCCCCTCAAATTTTGCCTCCATCACAAGAAAAGCATACACATTTTCCCCTCCCTCATATATTTGATGACCAAATACTTTCCTTTCTCTCCGTCTTTTTTTCACCTCTCCCCTTGATCTCTTTCTCTGCTCTTAGGTTCTTTCTCTTCCTCTTTCTTTTCACCTCTTCCCTTGATCTCTTTCTCTCTTTCCTTACTCTGCTCAATACTTAGCCCCACGTTCCACATATAAAAAGAGTCAATAGATCCTTCTTCTTTGGGTGCTTTCATTATCTAAGATAAATGGAATAAAGCTATACCCTTGAAGCCTTTCCCATAGACCTCTCATTTCTCAGTACTACTACTACCCTCACTTGGTATCCCTTATTAGGGTTGTCATCATGAGAGCTGGAGGCTGCACGGTGGAGCAAGCCCTCACGCCTGAAGCTGCAAACGTGGTGAAACAATCCATGGGCTTGGCTAGAAGGAGAGGACATGCTCAGGTCACACCTCTCCATGTGGCCAGCACCATGCTCTCTGCTCCAACGGGTTTACTTAGAACAGCTTGTCTCCAATCTCACACGCACCCTCTTCAATGCAGAGCCCTAGAGCTCTGCTTCAACGTGGCTCTGAACCGACTCCCCACCTCCGCGGGGAGTCCTATGTTAGGGATCCCAACTTCCCCTTTCCCTTCTATCTCTAACGCTCTTGGTGCAGCTTTCAAACGCGCGCAGGCTCACCAGCGGCGTGGAACAATCGAGAGCCAGCAGCAACCGATCCTAGCAGTCAAGATTGAAGTGGAGCAGCTCATAATATCCATCCTCGATGATCCTAGCGTGAGTAGAGTGATGAGAGAAGCTGGTTTCTCGAGTCCTCAAGTTAAGAGCAAAGTCGAGCAAGCTGTTTCTTTAGAGAGTTCGTCTAAAACAATCTCCACGAGTAAACCAAAAGAAGGACAGCTGTTAACTCTTTCCAGGGACGAGGATGTCATGAACGTTATAGACAATCTAGTCGACAAAAGGACGAGGAACTTCGTGATCGTGGGAGAGTGTTTATCCACTATCGACAAAGTTGTGAGAACGGTGATGGAGAAAGTTGATAAAAAGGACGTGCCAGAAGCTTTAAAGGACGTGAAGTTTATAAGTTTATCTTTCTCATCGCTCGGACAACCTAGTAGATCCGACGTGGAACATAAGCTGAAGGAGTTGGAGACACTCGTGAGGAGTTGTGTCGGAAAAGGAGTGATTCTAAATCTTGGAGACCTAAACTGGTTCGTAGAGTCTAGAACCAATAGTAACAACAACTACTGTGTTGTGGAGCATATGATAACTGAGATTGGGAAGCTGGCTCGTGGGTTGCTCATGGGAGATCATGGACGGTTTTGGTTAATGGGTTTTGCTACTTCAGAGACTTACGTGAGATGCAAGTCTGGTCAACCCTCGCTTGAGTCTCTTTGGTGTCTCACCACTCTCACTATTCCCACGACTACTAGCCTCCGGTTGAGTCTCGTATCCGAGAGGTAAAAGTCTTCTCCTTTTGATATGTTCAATCAACATCTAGATACTATTGGTTTTGATTTTTTTATTATTATAAAAATTGTTGGATATGTTCTAGCTATTTTGTCTCTTTGTCGAAAAGGATAATTTTACCCATAGTGTTTTTTCTTTATGTGGTGATCGTCTAAAAAGAGCGGTGAAACAACGTGCATCCTTTTCATACCTTTTTCTATAATTTTATCTTCTTTATTGTGAGAAATACTAATAAAAGACTGGAGAAAACAAGTGACTTCATTTCAGTTAAAAGTTACAAGATTAAATAAAAACTTTAACTCTTTTACCTAATTATTAGAGATAATCTAGATACCAAGATGTGTATCTTACAAATCAAAATTGTGAAACTCATGAATTTCATAAAAAACTTCTAATTCGAATCTATACAGAAATGAAAATATAGGTACAATGAATATGCTAGAATCTTATTTGGTTTGTATTAAACATATAATGTAGACATTTCTAATCCAAACCTAACACATAAATAAAATTACAGTACTAATGATGAATATGCTAGAATAATATGAGCTTGTTCTTCAAATGATTTTATTTATTTTCAAGGTTTTCACCATTTTGTTTCAAAGCAGAGAGCTTGAAGTCAAGAATACAGAGAAGCTACCTCTGCAGCTGCATTCATTAGAGAAACAGCTCAGTTTCTGTGAGGAATGTTCAGTCAAGTTCGAAGCAGAAGCTCGGTTCTTGCAATGCAGGAATAATGAAAGCAATGTTAATACTGCATCTTTACCGGCGTGGCTTCAGCAATACAAGAAGGAGAATCAAAGTAGTCACAATGTGAGTTGTATAACAACACCAAATCAATTCACGTTTCTCATTTTCTTTTCTTTTTTTTCCTAATAGAATCTAAATTTAATTCTTGAACTTGGCAGGATTCAAATTCTATAAAAGAACTTGTGGTTAAGTGGAACAAAATCTGCGATTCAGTTCACAAGAGACCATCCTTAAAAACACTCACACTCTCTTCTCCCACTTCTTCCTTTTCTGGTTCCACACAACCTTCTAGTACTCTGCATCATCTTCAAACCCCTGATGCATTCCCCTTAAGAGTGTTCATTCCAGAGCTTCTCTCTTCGAATCCTAACTCAACAGTTAACTCAGCAGCTTCTTCAAGCGATGGAATAGAGGTGGAAGATTCCTCTTCTAGGTTTAAGGAAATGAATGCTGAAAACCTAGCAGTATTATGCGATGCCTTGCAGAGCAAGGTGCCATGGCAGAAGGATATAATCTCAGAGATAGCGAAAACAGTCTTGAAATGTAGGTCAGGCTCGAGTACGAGAAAAATAAACCGAAGCAATGATGTAAAAGAAGATACATGGATGTTCTTTCAAGGTCTTGATGTAGAGGCTAAAGAAAAGATCGCTAGAGAATTGGCTAAACTTGTGTTTGGGTCAGAAGACAGCTTTGTCTCGGTCTGTTTGAGCAACTTCTCATCGAAAGATTTGAATAACAAGAGGTCGAGAGATGAACAGAACTGGAGTTACATTGAGAGATTCTCTGAAGCTCTTTGGTCTGATCCACACAGAGTGTTCTTAGTGGAAGATATAGAGCAAGCTGACTATTTGTCCCAAAAGGGTTTCAAGAGAGCCATTGAGAGAGGAAGAGTTTGTAATTCAAGTGGTGAAGAAGCTTCTCTTAAAGATGCTATTGTGATTTTGAGCTGTGAAAGATTCAGTTCAAGATCAAGAGCTTGTTCTCCTCTGGTTAATGAGAAATCCGACGGTTCACATCAGTCTGAGGACAAAAACGTTGTTACTTGCGCCGCACTCGATCTTAACCTCTCTCTTGACCATGACGTTTGTGGAGAAGAGTCATGTGATGAGATTGGCTTGCTCGAAGCTGTGGATGCACGGTTTCATTTTAAGTGTTCAACAACATAACCTCATGCATGTGTGCATGCAACATGATCCAGTTCATGAACATGATCGTTCTGATTATGCATCATGCGTTATTTGTTTACTTAGGAATTTCTCTTTCACTAGGGCAATACTTTGGGTTAAACGTGCAGTTGTAGATTTTTTTATTTGGCTTAGGAACTTTCTAGAAGGATATATATGGGAAGCTGGATAATTTCTTGCAACTTTTTTTTTGTTTAATGTATTATTATCTCATTATGCTCGTTTAATATATGTTCGCAGGAAAAATGTCGGAAAGCTGCTGATTTTTTTTTTTGTTGACATTTAATTTGGATTGAAGGGAAGGTTTATGAATTTGTTGCTATAACATCAACGTGACTTATTGTGTTGTTGTTTTTCATCTGAAAAGTTCCACAGGTCCATGTTAATATTCACTTTGAGTGTTTCTTGTTGCTGTTAATATTGCGTAAAGGTTCATTCAAAAAAAATGATGTATATATTGCGTACAGGCTTTATCCAAAAGAACATATCTAGTTGATTTTGTGTGTTTAACTTGAGTTTTATATCGTTCTTCTTATATATAACAATGGATTTTGTAACTTAATTTTCATGCATATCAATAATGCAGTGCAAGTTCCAAATTAAGGTTCTTCTTTTTGAACTCTGAAAATAGCATATATCCTTAATAGTTAATATAATCCAAAGCTGGGGTCTTAAATGATTTAAAAATCAGGTTTAGTACTCTAACCAAAAAAGAGGTGAAGAATCAAACTTAAGCTAGAAGAAAGAACGCTTAAGCTAGAAGAAAGAACATTCAAATATACAATGCGACAATATACTAATTACTTAGTACACAATTACATTATCATGAAGCATATATATTATTCTCATCTCCTTTTTACGATACTTTGTCGTTAATTATGACATTTATAAGATAAAACTTATCCATTTCGTAATAAGAGATGCTTCATTCTGTTTTTGTTGTATTTATGTCTCTACAATTTACTGTTATTTTGGTGGTTAGTATATACTGTATAACATACATATATTTTAGAGGTTTTGCAAGTTTTCTTTAAAATGTACATTCAGCAAAAAGATAGACCACTATCAAATAGACCGATATGATCTAGACAAACCATAATCAGCCAGTAATTAGTCTAAGTATAAATAATACAAAATTGGTCATTGTTTCTTTTAGAATCCAAGACAACTTCATTGACTTTACAGATCTTCGCGAACTTTATTGCCTCTCTATTTCATTTCATTTCATCCTTTCTTTTTTCTTTTCCCAAGAGAAGCAAGAAGCCACCACTTTCTAATTTTGCGAGTTTAGTTTCTTTTAAAGTTTAAACTCAGAAGTTTTGGGTAGCTCTAGCCTCTATGCACAACCCTTTAGATCGGGAATTAGAATATCTGTGGAACACTTTTGTGAATGAATCTTCTTTCATAAACTTGAATAGTAAGGTAAGCTTTTCGGCTTGGATATGATGCGTACAGTGGTCAAAGAATGAATTCTGAGATCATGATTAATCTAGGTTTCTTATGGTGGGGTTTTTAGTGAAAGTTAAAAAACTGTTTTTTAATTTTTAACTAAAAAAAATTAAGAATCGGTTTTCAAATAAAGACTTAAAAACCAGTTCTTAACTTTTTTAGTTAAAACTTAAGAAATAATTTTTTAATTTCCACTAAAAAATTCGCCATAAGAACTCTAGGTTTATCATGGTTTAACACATATTCATGTTTTTGTGTACACACAATAAAATATCCACATTAATATATCTGCAAATTAGATGCTATACCGGTATATGTATGTGTGTAAATGTGTCCATCAATTCATTCATGTAATCTAAAGATTATCCTCAAAAACAGGAATTGGAAAATAAAGCTAAGCATGATTTTGGAAAAGTATATAGTAGATTTATATACAAGAATTGCAGAAAGTGGGTGATCCTTTTAAAGCACAAGAGAAAAAGAGAGTAGAAAGTTATTCTATCTCTCGGCTTTTGGGAGTTTTTTAGCTTTTGAGAGCCTTGTGATGGTCATTTAGTCATTAGAGAACTAAACTTTGATCCCACCTTTTATCTTTATAAAAAGCAATAAAACACACTAACTTTTTCTCCCCGTTGTAGCTTTTGTTATCTTGTTGATTAAATAAGATAAATGGAGAATTAATTGTGCAAGCCATTTATTAGAATGTAAGCAATACATACCACCGCTAAGCCAAATGAACATGATTTTCATTTCAGTTTTATTCAACTGAGAGCTGTGACGTAATAATTGTAGAGCCTTATATGGCCCAAATCCATATCTCTTGATGCGTCAAGGGCCTAATAGCTCATAGCCGACCTTTCTTAGAGCATTTGCCAACTCTTAAAAAGAATTTGAATAATTCAAACGCATGTTACGACTTACGAGTACATTTTTTTAGTGTGAATGTTAAGAAAACAGATGTAGATAATTGTGTGGTGCATCATTCCTTAAGCCAAACAAGAAAGAGTGTTCATTTATTTGTTGTTGTGTTGGTCTTCAAACGCGGGGATTTGTTGCATGATTGCATCGATCACTTATCAAAAATTTAGCACTGTTTTTGGTGACTTCACAAGAATGTGCTCAACTTAAAGAATAATGATCGATATTTTTATTTAAAATATAAATGTATCTGAGAAAGTTATGTCTCTTCCTTTTCTGATTTCATTTGCAACAACAAAAATGAACATGTTGAGAAAAGTGTGATTACATTACACAGAAACCTACAAGCGATATTACACCCAAAATCACCTTCTCTCTCTCTTTTTTTTTTCTCTATCTCTTTCTACTGTCTCTCAAAAACCTAATTTTCTTTTTTGGTTATTTTACAAATAGCTCTAATTTAAAATGAATCCTAATCATCTTTATTCACTTCAATTTAGTAACGACATTCCATACATCTAGAGGCGAAACCAAACCTAAGAAAATGAATGCATGCACTCAATGTACCATTTTTGATTATTTTGTGAGAAAAAAAATTATTAAATAAATCGAAAGTCATGTTCATTTGCACACATGAATTCAGTTTTATATATTTTACTTACCTAGTAAAATCTATACTTAAATTTTCCCATACATACATATTCAGGTGGCACACCATAAAATCTACTGTAAAAGAAATGTGACGTTAGTTTCATCCATTGCGCCCAATCGTAATATTGCAGTTGTAATTCTTTACAACATTCCATTATGCTTGTTTTGAGCCTTTTTAATTTTCTTTCTCTAAAGATGAACTTCTTTTCCAGTTTCGCTGGTAGCCTAACCCCTATAGTGTGACTTAACTTTTCCAAATCGAGATAATTCATAATCATAGATTCATAGAATATTCTTCTATATATGGTAGAGACGACAATACCTAAAACACAATAAAATTGATTGCCAGGATAATGGCAAATCTAAATTCTAGTGAGAGTTGTATTTGACTGCTCCATGTCCTAAAGCCATGAGTACTTTTCCTTAATGTTGGACTTAGATGATTTATGAGATCCAATAAGAGAGATTGAGTGTAATATCCAAAATCCAAGCTCAAATTTAAAGTTTGCCCATTGATAGACATTATTGACTCAAACCATACAATTACGCTTGGAAATATCCAAAATATCTTTCTTCAACTAACACATTTTTTGTTGGTTACAGAGAAGTGTCAGGAGGGAGAGTGTCCACATGTTTGCTAGATTATTTTTAATTCTAAAAATATTATCAAATAATAATATTTTTGAATATATAATTTATAAAAATTATAATAGATAAAAAAATTTAATATTTGATATAATTGAAAATATAAATTACAATTGATTGCAAGATTTCAATATCTCTAAAATCTACAATTTGTTATAAATTCCATATTAGTGTTATATTAATTGTTAGCGGTTAACTCATTTGGTAACTGATACATGTTTTGTTACCTGATAAATTTACTCAGTTCGATAGAGAAATTAAAACTTCGACAATATTTATTTGCTAACATATAATACCTAACACATGTATTCACATCTACAAATTTGTTAACAACTAACACCTCTATTAAAATTATGACACAAGTATTTGTTAACAGCTAAGACATCTGTTAACATCTACATAATTTGTTAACAGGTAATTCCTCTGTTAATACAACTGGTACATGTATTTGTTAACAGCTAACACCACATTATTTTCTATATATATTATTAACACTACATATTTTAATATTATATGTAGCAAATAATAATTTGAAACCTCAAAAAAAAATATTTCATCACGTAAAGAAAAGAACAAAAAAATTAGAATAGAGAATGACAAAAAAAATGATGAGAGAGTTTGAGAGTGGTACAGAAATAGAATTGAAGGAAAGATAGAGTGTGCCAAGAGAGAGAATGTCAGGAGAGAGAATGAAGGGCATTTTGGTCAACAATTTTGCATGAGTCACATTAAGTGTAAAACGTAAATTAGGGGGTCGGTTTAGGGTGGGAGCAAATAATCTCATCCAATAATGAGGAAAATAAGGCCCGTTTGTTTTATGGTTTTGTACCATGGTGTTAAGCTTCATTTCAATAGGTATTGGTTTTCCTAATTTGGGTTAGAAAGAAGATCTTCCTAAGATTTAGTTGCCGGTTCGGATTTATTTGGTTATGCCAGGTTATTTTCTACGTCAGTTGATGATGGATTTAGTTGTAGCAGGACATGCTCAAACGTTTAAGACCTTACGACCAAAAAAATTGAAACCCTAAAAAAAATATTAATTGTTCTTTTTTCAAATAATATTATAAATAATTTTTAATAAGATATATGTTGAAAACAAAAAAAAATTGTATACACTATTTTTAGATCTTTTAATTATTTTTATATAGATATACTTATATTACAAAAAATTCAGACCTTTGACAGACCATGATGTCCCATAGTTTATCCCCATTTAAGTTAGCACTGAATTGTAATCTTGTAGAAGTTAAAAGTTCAAGATATTAAAAGTTCTTCCCGATCTCAGATTTATTACTCTTTTGAAATGCAATAACTGAGGTATTGGACTGATGCTTAAGTAACCTTTGGATCACGGTTCCACATAGACACTTCTCTTGATAGGTGAACAAGCTTCTAAAGCTGAGTCGTTCCATCTACAATTGAATAAAAGTGAGGGTTCAGAATGGTCACTCATGTCTGTTCTGGAGTGACAATTGATCAGAGTGTGGCTGTCTGCGATCCTACCTGAGCATCAGTAACAACTCGGGGTTGGGAATCCCCTCAAACGCAACACTTGCATCACTCTATCAAAATAATCATTGGTGCATCCCTCATGCAAGAACAGAGGCTCTAGTTAATATCCATGTCTTGCTAACTACTACCCATCTCAATGATTCA